TTTTTAAATCGTTTAGATAATCCAGTAATAGGACGACTTAAACACGAATTAAAAAAAACAAATTTAAAAGTTAATATTATGTTTCTTGCTATATATAAGAGAGGTAATAATGAAGAAAATATGGAATATGAGGAAAAAAATTTTAAAACACAAAATAAAATTTTAACAAAAAATTCTAACTTAAATGAATTTTATACAAATGCAAAAATAAAAATTGTAAAAGAAGAAGACGATTTTATAATGAAAAATTCACAATGGAAACTTCATCAAATTTTAAGTTTGGGAATAAATATAAATAAATATGTTCCTTTTAAGGGTTCTTCATATATTCCATTACCTAAACATATTGGAGATAAACATGCTATTATAAATGTTAAAAATGAAGATGATAAATGTTTTCTTTGGGCAATACTCTCTGCTTTACACCCTGTTGAAAAAGATGGACAAAGAGTAACTAAATATATTCCTTTTAAAAATGAATTTGATAAAGAATTTAAAGATATTGAATTTCCGGTAAAAACCACAGACGTTCAGAAATTTGTTAAAAGAACAAAAGATATTTCTATTAATATTTATTGTTTAGATATAAATGTAATTGTACCTTTACAAGTAAGTAAAATCGAAAAAACTAATCATATAGATTTATTATATTTAACAGTGGATGATAAGGATACTGATGATGAGGATAATAATATGAATAAAGGACATTATTGTTGGATTAAAGATTTATGGAAACTAGTAGGAAGTCAAGTTACAAAAGATGGTCATAAAAGATTTTTGTGTAAAATGTGTTTAAATAGTTTTGATACAGAAAATAAGTTAAATGATCATAAACATTATTGTGTTAATAATAAAGCTGCTAAAATAGTTCTACCAGAACCTTATGACAAAACTTTAGAATTTAAAACTTATAATCATTCCTTAAGAGTCCCTTTTGTGATTTATGCTGACTTTGAATGTACACTTAAACCAATATACACTTGTCAACCAAACTAATACAGAGTCTTTTACAAAATGTTATCAGAAACATATACCTAATAATTTTTGTTATTATATTAAATATAGTAATGGTGATTATAAACCTCCTGTAGAATATTCTGGTCCAAACGTAGCTCAAGTATTTTATGATTGTATGAAAGATGAAGAAATACTTATTTCTGAATTATATGATAAAATAGTTCCTATGGAAACATTGAATGCAGAACAATTAAATAATTATAATAAATCTGATAAATGTCATATTTGTGAAAGATGTTTAGATGAATTACCTCCAATGTTAGAGAAAAAAATTAAAATAATTAAAAACATTATTAAGCATTATAAAAATACTGATGATGTTAAAAATTTTAAATTGTATGAAGATAACCTTAAAATAATTAAAGACAATATTAAACATTATGAAAATATTGATGATGTTAAAAATTTTAAATTGAATGAAGATAAACTTAAAATAATTAATATCGTTATTGAACATTATGAAAATATTGATGATGTTAAAAAATTAAAATTGTATGACGCTATTGAATATTATGTTAAAAAATTAAAATTGTATGAAGAAAAAAATAAAATTAAAGATGCTATTGAATATTATGAAAATATTGATGTTGTTAAAAATTTTAAATTGTATGAAGATAACCTTAAAATAATTAAAGACAATATTAAACATTATGAAAATATTGATGATGTTAAAAATTTTAAATTGAATGAAGATAAACTTAAAAAAGAATTAGAAAATAAAAATAAAAATATGCGAAAAGTTCGGGATCATGACCATTTAACTGGAGAATATAGAGGTGCAGCACATTCTATCTGTAATCTTAACTACCAAAATCCACGTTTTATTCCAATTGCTTTTCATAATCTTTCAGGTTATGATGCTCATCTATTTATAAAAGAATTTGGAAACGATAATGAAAGAATAAAAATGATCCCAAATAATGAGGAAAAATATATTTCTTTTTCAAAAATGATGTCACGTGAAGTAAATAGGAAAGGTAAAGACATAAAAATATATACAGAATTAAGATTTATAGATTCATTCAAATTTTTACCTAGTTCTTTAGAAAAGTTAACAAATAATTTAAGAAATGATTCGAAATTAAATTTAAAAAATAAATTTAAAGAACTTAGTAAATATTTTCCTGAAGAACATTTAGATTTAGTTACTAGAAAGTTAGCATATCCCTATGAGTATATGGATTGTGAAGAAAAATTTAATGAAACATGTTTACCTCCTATTGAAAAATTTTATAGTTCTCTCACAGATAAAAATATAACTAAAGAGGAATATAAAAACTCACAGAAAATTTGGAAAGTGTTTAATATACAAAATATGCGTGAATTCACTAGTTTATATAATAAGATCGATGTTTTATTATTAACAGATATAATAGAAAATTTTAGAGATATTTCTTTAAAAAATTATAAATTAGATCCTATGTGGTATTACACAACACCAGGATTTGCGTGGGATTGCATGTTAAGAATGACAAAAGTAAAATTAGATTTATTAACAGATATAGATCAAATATTGATGTTTGAATCTGGAATCAGAGGTGGCTTATCTCAATGCAGTCAAAGATATTCAAAAGCAAATAATAAATACATGGGAGATAAATTTAAAAAAAAGGAGGAATCAATATTTTTAGAATACTTGGATGCAAATAATCTTATGGGTGGGCAATGAGTAAATATTTACCTACTGGAGATTTCAAATGGGTTGATAATCTGAATGATTTTGATGTAATGAATATTTCTGATAAATCATGTAAAGGTTATATTTTAGAAGTCGATTTATCTTACCCTAAAGAACTTCATGATCTACATTCAGATTTCCCTTTAGCACCAGAAAGACATTTTGATAACAAACAACTTCCAAAATTATTAACAACTTTGTATGATAAGAAAAAATATATAATACATTATGAAACACTAAAATTATATATTAATTTAGGTTTAAAGATAGAGAAAATTCATAGAGTATTAGAATTTAGTCAATCTCCTTGGTTAAAAGTTTATATTGATTTTAATACTAATCTTAGATCAGAAGCTAAGAATGAGTTTGAAAAAGAATTTTTCAAATTAATGAATAATAGTGTTTATGGACGTACTATGATGAATGTTCGAAATCATGTTGATATAAGATTATGTTCTAATGCATACCAACTAGAAAAATTAATTACAAAACCAAATTTTGATCGAAGAACAATTTTTACAGAAAATTTAGCTGCCGTACATATGAAAAGAACACAAATATCTTTCAAACAACCAATATATGTAGGAATGTGTATTTTAGATTTATCTAAAATGTTAATGTATGATTTTTATTATAATATTATAAAGAAAAAATATGGAAATAGAGTTAGATTGTTATACACAGATACAGATTCACTAATATTAGAAATAAAAACTAATGATTTTTATCAAGATATGAAAATTATGTTAGATCATTTTGACACATCAGATTATCCAAAAGATAATATTTATGGTTTACCTTTAGTTAACAAAAAAGTTTTAGGCAAGTTTAAAGATGAGTTAAATGGAAAAATAATGTCTGAATTTATAGGTTTAAGATCTAAATTATATTCTCATCGAATCTTAGATACTGAAAAAGAAATTAAAAAAGCTAAAGGTGTTAAAAAAAATGTTGTAGAAAATAAAATATGTTTTAATGATTTTGAAAAATGTTTACTAACAAAAGAATCAAAATATGTTAAACAAAATTTATTTAGAACTAAGAAACATGATATTTTTACTGTAGAACAAAACAAAAAAGCTTTAAGTGTTTATGATGATAAAAGATTTATTTTGGAAAATGGTATTGATACATTAGCTTGGGGACATTATAAAACAAACATAGATAGAAACGATTTTGTAAACCATCTCAATACACTGATTAGAAATCAAAATCAAAAAGATTAGAAAAATATTTTTAATAGAACAATGTTAAAAAAATTTTTTTTACTAATATAAATAATAGAAATGGAAAATTGTAAAAAACTTTTAGATATGATCCAAAGATATAAAAATATACTAAAAGAGTTATCAGAAATTGAATCATCTATGTATAATTTAGAAACTCATGTATCATTTTTATATGATGATGATGATCACAAAAAAAAATTTAAGAAATTAATTAGTTATTTTAAGAAAACTCATAATGAATTATCGGATCATATAATGAATCATTGGATTGATAACTATTTTTTTAATATTCACTAGTTTGTTGTTAGACCTTTTTAATAGAACAATTCTATTAAAAAATAAATTAATTTGTCTAACTACAAATACTATATTACATTTCGATTTTAATTATTAATATCATAAGTATTATGAAAAATATTTTGGGGGTGAAAATGTATTTAATAAGTTTTGCGAAAAATGTTTTTATTATTATTGCATTTCGATTTTTATTTTTAATAATTAAGTTTTGCCGAAAATATTTTTATTATTATTGCTTTTCGATTTTTATTTTTAATAATTAAGTTTTGTGGAAAATATTTTTATTATTATTGCATTTCATAAGTTTTGCGAAAAATTTTTTTTATTATTATTGCATTTCAATTTTCTGATCTTTTTGCACATTGTTTTCTTTGTGATCTTTTACTGATATATTATGAGGTGCGCCAGGACTGGTATATATATACTACTCATACCTTATATTTTAACAGACAATTCATTTTTATAAATAACAAAATTTATATCCTTCTATATATTACATTTTATATACTTGAAATAGATAGATTTACTCTAGAAATTTCTTATAAAAATAATAAATATACTTGGGTTAATTTCATAATATAATTATTATAACAAATGGATTAATAAAACTTACATTTTCATTATAAAATTTATATCCTTTATATAATATAAATAATAAATAATTACATAATATAATTTAAAAAAATTTTATTTGTATTAATATTTGTATACATAGTAAATAACAATCATAATATTATAATTTTTTTAACAAATAAAAACTGAATATTGGAATTTATATTTTATGTCTTGTCATTATTTACAAACAGATGCTCAACTTCTTTTATTATTGGATTTTGGAAATTTACTAATGCAGCACATAGTTGAAATACTAAAGATGACTTTGTATAAAGCGCTTTTGGTATGTGTGTTAAAATCTTAAACTTCTTCAGCCTAACCATCACCCTTTCAACATGAATTCTGGCTCTAGCTATGCTCTTTGTTTTCAGAACTTCACTTGGAGTGAATTGCGGAGACATAAGAAAAGGGGGAATGTTTAAGGAAGTTTCTGGAGGCATTAAGTATGAAATTAGGAAGCCTTTATCAGCTAACACTAAATCACCTGGTTGTAATATATTTAATACTCCACAGTGGCCTACAATTTTTTTATCAGAAGTGGATCCAGGATACAATTTACTAGCATAAGTAATAACACCATTAGGAGCCACCACCAATAAGCCCTTTCAATGTATTTTTATTCTTATAAGAACTATATGTGAGCTTTTGATCCAAAAGGGATTTAGGAATATCGCATGAAATTTCAGTACAATCTAATGTTATTCTACAATTTTGAAAATTATTGAAACATTCTGGCAAGCAATTTTGGTTCTTATTCTGTGAAGGTACTGTATTCATTAAGTTAATAAATAAAATTTCATGAAGAACACTTATTAATGTTAATATAATATTACCTACTGTGGATTCACTAGTCTTAAATCTAAATGCTAAGTCTGGATAAGCTAAATTCAATCTTAGTTTTATAAGAGTCACAAGGATTTGGTCTTTTAAACAAAATTTTTCAACATTCCAATCATAATAATATTTAAAAGAAACTTTTGAACATAAATCAACAACTATGTCAAACATAGATTTACTAATCCCACAGTAAAACTCAAATAATTTGTTATCAGATTCAATAGAGTGGTAACCAAAAGGGTTATTTTTAAGAAACAATTTTTCTTTTTTTAATTCTTCAATTTCTTTATGAAGAAAATACTTTTCAGCTTCATCACTTTTACTATTTGTAGGTGTTAAAACATAAGTTTCAGTTGTTGTACTATTTTCAATAATAATTGAACTTTCGTTTTCCTGTGAACATGATGCACTGTCTACCTTCTTAAGTCTTTAATATAATAATAGAAAAAACAAATTCTTGATTTTAAAATTTCATTTTTAATTCTAATAATATTTTGTTATGCTGACAATACAAATACAATTATGCATGCATCATATAATTATGTTAGCATAAATAATTTAATAATACTTACTTATTAATCCATTTACAATGAGCTCATACAACTTTGTTCTAACTCCATTCTACTCTAACACATTTATTAGTGATAAAAAAAAATATGATTTATAAGTTATAATTAGTTAAGTATTAATTTGAGATAAATACAGGGTTATATAAAATATAAATAAACAGATATTTTATTTTTTTAATATACATCACATATTTAATTTATTTTGAGCCATATACACACACATTATATTAATATCCACAACTATTTATTAAAGAACAAATAAAATCATATAGTTAGCTTGTATGATTAGTAGACTGGATTGATATAAGTAAAGGACTAGCATCACTAGCAAGGTTAATCCCAAAGAAAACTAACAGTTATAAAATACAATAATAAACATAGGCACAAATCGCAGGGGTGCTAAGTAACCCTTAGCACCCTGAATTTTAATGATAGCACCCCGAATCTCGTAATTACCTATAACTTATATAATGTTACTACCATAATATTTCCATAATAACATCAATAACGTTTATTAAAAATTCATTTAATTTAAGTTTATTTAAAGATTATCAGACTTATCAGTTATTCACATTGAAAGAGATATTATAGTTCTAAATAGTGAAATTATTTTAAATAAGTATGCTGAAAATAAGCTTACATCCCGGCTTACATTTTCATTAAATTTGCATAATAAATTAAATTAATTTGTTTTACTTAAAATGTTTAGTTATATTTGTGAGATTTATATTTTATTAATGTATATGGTATGGTACTATTGGGGTGTGCGAGGAGCCCCTCACGAGCTGGGTCTGTTTCTTTAAAAAGCCCCCCTAATATTTTCAGGTGATTTGCGCCTATGATAATAATACAAATCAATTACTAAAAAAAAAAAGCAATAATAAACATAGTTAATATTGAATTGAATCTAAAAGTTAATTATTTTCTTTTGCATACTTGGTATGTTTTTCAGGAGATGTAAATGAAAAGGATGAGTTTTTATTCCATTCAAATTGAGTAGGTCCATTTTCTCTTAAACCATCTTTAAAATGGCAACTACATATTTTGTTATTTTTTGTGGGATATGTATCTGCTCTTCTGTCATGTAAAAAGTTGTATAATGAAAAATAAGGTTTAACTTAAATCAATAAATTATGCATGTGAAAATTAAACAGAATATAACTATTTGAAATATACTTTACCTCACTGATTTAGCCCAGACTTTACATTCAATATAATTAGCTGGAAATCTAAAAAATTTGCAAGTTTCTCGGTTGGAAATGTGAGAACACAGCGGAACCCAACATTGAACCATTTTAACACTAAGACAACATTAATTTAACAAATTTTAATTTGGAATAAATATTATGTAAAATGTGTTTAATTAGTAACTCACATTGAAAAATCTTTTCAAAAAAGAAATTGTATTTGCTCACTGAAGACCGCCAAAACAAAGCTAAGGGCAAGCAAATGGCTCAAAAAGAAAAACAAAAAATTATTATATATTTAAGTATAGTAATAAAACATACTTATTATGTAAAATGGAGGGAAAATAGTACATACTTCTATGTAAAAATTGCAATAGTAAAAAATATTTATAATACTTAACTGATTTGTGTATAATCCATAGAGTATGTGGTATAATGTGTGTGCCATAGAAATACAAAGTACTACACTTAGATTATATTGACGAAAAAAGCGTTTAGCTTCATATTTTTGGTCGGTATATATGTATAAACTTGTAAAGAACATGTTTTTAATAGTTAGAACTTTAAGAAAAATATACAAATGCACTTAAAACCAATTTTTTTCAAGCATGTTTTTCGACCCATGTATTTCTTATGGAATGAACCGTGATAACAGCTTGTTTTGAACCGTCGGTCTTATCAATAGACAATGTGACGTCACACTATTTGTGCCTATTCGCGTGCACCAGACAGTGGCGTAGGGGCGTGTCCTGGGGCCCTCAGAGCTCTTGGTAAATTTTAAAAATACATCCGTAAAATAAATTCAAATAAAATTGAAAAGAAGGTTGGATATTTTTAATAATACGATAATCGAATATTAGAAATTTAGGTCCGATTTCACCAACACAGTTAATCACGGTTAAGGTTAACCGGAGTTTTAATCGGCCGAATTTGGCCGGTTAAATATCTGTTATCAGCCGATTAAGCGTTAACCGTGATTAACTGTGTTGGTGAAATCGGCCCTTAAGAGGACGCTATACCCGCATGTGTTGTCTCCGTCTTACACACGTACGACATAGACACAACGCGTTTAGGCAGTCTGAGTATAACTCGCTCAATTTTGGTTCTAGAGTAAAAATACCTATTATGAAATTGAATTGTGATAATATTTCTAAGGGCAAGACGCTGCGGTTTTTTTAAAAAATTTAATTTTTTAAAAGTCAAAGGTATTTTAAAAATTTTGAAATTTTTTCTATATCTAAACGATATAATGAACGTTATATTGGGTATAATGGAAAAACCGCAGCGTCTTGCCCTTAGAAATATTATCACAATTAAATTTCATTATAGGCATTTTTACTCTAGAACCAAAATTGAACGAGTTATACTCAGACTGCCTAAACGCGTTTTGTCTATGTCGTACGAGTGTAAGACGGAGACAACACATGCGGGTGTAGCGTCCTCTTAATATGAATATTGTATACCTATAAATACACGCAATATGCAATGATCGGTGTTCAACTGCGGAGTAATCGTTATCTTATCTCACAACGGCCACCAAGGTTTGTAAAATATATACAATTACATAATACATTACTCCGTTGTCAATATTGCATTGTGTTCATTTGTAATTAATTTTCATTAGTTTTGTATTGTATATAAATTTCACATAATTACAAAATTTAATTACACAATTTTTATTGTTTATGTCATAATATTATACCACCCAGCTCCCTAAATGTACAGTTATGTTACTCGCGCTATGATGGATGGACTAGTGGCCATAAATTGGCCCATAGTGAAAATAATTCGTATATACTCCTGCACTGGGCGGTTCTGATGGTACTTTTTTGGTGAGTCAACCTATGTATCAAGGGGGTATCACACTCGTACACAAATTTAAACGGAGCGACGATTCAAACAAGACAGAAATGAGAAATATAAATTGATATTGCAACGGTTTAATTAGGGCTGTCCCGACTCCCGGCTGCAACAAAAATTTTGATATTTGAATCATTAATTTTGGCTCCCTAGTTTATTAACGATGGTCCTCTAAAGATTAGTAAAATATGCATTAATACTTTTAATTGAAATAATTGGTATGGGATTAATTTAAAAGCGCTAAACAATTTTTTCTTATAACTACCTTGTGATACACTTCAATAGTTGTACCTATCAGTAATCTATAATGACACGCTCAGAAAAAAAAAAAAAAACAGTCAAAATTGTTGGCAAACATAGTTCATTATTTTTATTTTAACATTTGATCATAAAAATCAACATTATTATTTTAATTTATTATTATAATCGTAATTAATTACTTTAAATTTTTTTCATCACAGTTACTTTTCTTACAATATCATACATTTTAATTCTTTATTAGATAGGTGGCTAAGGTAAAATGAAATCAGTGTATAAGAAATCGAAAAACGTTACTTTACGAAAAATAAAATAAAAAAAATATCATTTTTCTCATCCGAGATTCGAACTCGATGTACTATATATATTATCACACGATAGTTAGATGCGATTGCATTAATATTACAATATTACTTAGGTATGTGCTACATATGATAGCAAGGACAACAAAGACATAAAATGTGGTATTTCATTGAAGACTCGTATGCAATATGATTTTATAATTTAAAATTATTAGTAACTATATATTATAAATTCTTATATGGCAGAAAAAGTGGAATATCGTATAAAAACCTACCCAACGTTCAAACACATAAAGATCTAAACTTAAAATTTGATGATAAATAAGTTGACTCTAAAAATGTATTAATTCATTTATTATTTAATTAATTTATTTTTATTATTTTATAAATGAATTTATTAATTCATTCCAATGAACCTAAATTTGCTAGGTAATAGCTAGGTAAACCGGCTCCCTCAACCCTCAAACCGTGATGGGGGTGTCACTTGGCACAGAGGTAGTTGTGTCGGCGTGGAACCTGTTGGGCTCTGCCACACCCAACAGTATATAGGCTTACCACTGCACCGGGCTCTGCAGTGGTGGACGACCCTTTCCTGTGTTTGCGTGGGACCAAATATGGAGGACAACAAACAGAACCCAGATGCACCAGCTGGCCAATTGGTGCAAAACAGCGGAACACCCACCGGTCAAAGGGTGAATACCTCAGAGGTGAAGAACAAGGAAATAGGAAATGCTGGAGAAATTAAGACTGCAGGGAATCTGGTGACGAAGTTGTTGGCCTCGTCAACTTCAAGTCAAACAAGCCAGAGCGACGTAAATATGGAAGAGGCAAATGCACGTTTTTTCAAGTACCTCCAGCAAACATACTCGGTGGCTAAGAGCCTGGATGATGAAGTTGCTATTGCCACCAACACCAAGAGGGAGATAAAAACCCTCATAGTCCAGCTATCGACCAACGTCAAAGGGCTGATACAGTGGGGAAGACTCACGGGTAAAGTGAACGTCAGTACCTCGAGTAGAGGAAACCAAACTGACCTTGGACCCTCTGTACTTCAACCCACAAATGAGGTGCCTCCTGAGTCAAAGACGACAGGAGTACCGTCAGGTCCCCAAACAGGGTCGACCCCTGCAGGCAAGATCCCCTCTCCGGATCGCACACGCTTTGAGCTCCTTGCTGCCATCGAGGGACTCCGACAACAGCTGAAAACCCAGGGGGAAGCTGTTGGGAAGCTAACAGAGCAGGTAGAGAGGTTACAGAACCAAAATCAACAACAGGAACTGCCACAACAAAAGTCGCCGAAGCAGCAGCAGCAGCAGCAGCGAGAGACACAGATGCAAAGAAATCTACAATTTCAACAAAAACAGCGGACAGACGACTCTCAGGACCGCAGCAGTGATACCGGAAACTGGGAAACGGTTGAGAACCGGCGAAAGAATAGGCGTAGGGGCAAGCCACCGCACCAGCGACCATCAAATAGTGAGGCGTTGGAACCACATAGCGACCCCCCGCGAAGACAGCAACGAGACAAACGCCAAGTCGAAACAGGAAACGAGAACGAGAACGGCGAACGAAGGGGAGGTAACGGTAGCTCAGCGGAAAAAATGGCCAGAAATCTAAGGAAAAAACTGCCCAAAAACGAAGCAATCATCCTTAATGCACCAACGACCGGGTCAACCTACGCTGATGTCATCAGGAAGGCGAAAGAAGCTGTACCAAACCTAAAAGAGCCCGGCATCGAAGTGGTCGGGACTAGAAGAACAGCAGCAGGTGACATCCTCCTAGAGGTTAGCAGCAAAGAGGAGGCTGAACTCTTTACTAAAAAACTAAAGGAGAAGCTCGGGAATGAGGTAAGCGTAAGAAGGGCCATGAGAACGTCACCAGTGCTCATTTCAGGACTTGACGAGTCAACAACCACAGAAGAGCTGAGGGCAGTTCTTGCTGAAAGAGACCCAGAGCTAGCAGACATCAAACCCTTCACCATCCGAACAGCAGCCAACGGCTGGAGCACTGCAAAGATCGAGACCTCGATACAGTCGGCATTGCGGCTAGTAGCTGATCCCAAATTGAGGATTGGATGGAGCAACTGCAGGATAAAGCTGCTCGGGGAAAAGAAAAGGGTTTGTTTCCGATGCCTAGAAACCGGGCATGTAGCAGCAGGATGCCAGGGGGAAGATCGTTCCAACCGCTGCATCAAATGTAGGAAGGATGGTCATGTGGCCAAGAATTGCGAAACGCGAGCCACGACTGGGTCAATGCCGCGTAATGAGGCCGGAAGGACCAACGGACCAGGAGGCAATGATTAATCTTCTACAGATTAATCTCAACCACTGTCGAACGGCTCAAAACCTGGTGGAGCAAACAGTGGTTGAAAGAAACATCGACGTGGTTATTGCATGCGACCCCCACGGGATCACAGACGGCAACGGAGGATGGCTAACAAGCAGCGGTACAAATAGGGCCGCAATCAAAGTGTTTGGGAAAAACGCCACGATAGCGAAAATCGAGACCGATGACGAGTTTGTACTGGTAAGGGTAAACGGAGTATTCATATATAGCTGCTACGCGTCACCAAACTCCACAATAGCAGCATACCGGGAATTCCTACAACGGCTAGAAAGGAGCGCACAACTGTTAGGACGCCAGGAGAGAATTATCATCGCCGGGGATTTTAACGCGAGATCAGCCGCATGGGGCGACTGGCAGAGTAACACCAGAGGAGAAGAACTCCTAGAGCTCTCTGAAGGACTAGGTCTGGTCATAATCAACACGGGACGAGAGCCCACATTTCATGGTATAGGAGCAGGCTCAATTGTCGACGTCACGTTTGCATCAGAAGGATTTTCCCGCAACATCAGAGATTGGACGGTACTAGACGAAGAAAATTACTCAGACCACCATTACATAACGTACACAGCACAAACGGAGGCAAGCTCTAGCAGAGGAAATGACACTCCGCGCAACGATAGGAGCTGGATCACATCCAAGGGCATCTGCGTTGAGGAATTCAAAGCAGGCCTTATGCTAGCGGATTGGATTTCCCCACGGCAAGCTGACATGGGGGAGTACAATTTAGCTGATGCCTTCGAAAAAAGGATGACCATCGCATGCGATTTTGCACTCCAGAGGAAACCCGAAATGCGATGTGGCAAAAGGCCCCAGCACTGGTGGAACCCGGAGATAGCCCAACTCCGCTCCAGCTGCACGGCAGCAAGAAGAGCATTAAAAAGAGCAGTGACCAGGCGGACCAGGAACGGAGGAGAAATAGCGGCGACAGAAGACCTGCTGGAGAACCTTAAATCCCGCAAAAAGGCCCTCAGGACGGAGATAGCTAAGAGCAAAGAACGCGCGTGGAAAGAACTACTCGAAACCGTAGAAAACGACATATGGGGCAAGCCGTATAAGCTGGTATTGAGGAAACTGCAAGGCCCACCAGCGACGGCGAACATGGAACCCATGATGCTAAAGGAAATCGTTGCGACGCTCTTTCCAACGAAGCCACCACCCAGCCAAATAGAGTACATCCGTGACATCCCCATCCCATTCTTCACGCAGGACGAGGTCTGTGAGGCCTTCAAACGTATGGCCCCCAGGAGGAAAGCGCCCGACCCGGATGGACTTACCAACTGCATACTCACAGCAGCCCACAGGGCAGAACCAACCCTCTTCAGGGGAATGTTCAACGAGTGCCTGCGAGTAAGTGACTTCCCCATCAGATGGAAAAACTCAAGGTTAGTGCTACTCCGCAAGGGACAAAAACCAGTAAACGAACCATCGTCATACAGACCCTTGTGTTTGCTGAACGATGTTGGAAAGCTCTATGAGCTACTCCTAGTGCAGAGGCTCGAAAGACACTTGGAAAGCTCACAAGGCCTCGCGGACGAACAGTATGGTTTCCGGAAGGGCCGCTCGACCGAGGACGCAATAAGCGCACTGGAGTCGACCGCAAATGCGGCACTCGGAAAATACGAACTTTGTGTCACCGTAAGCCTCGACATAAGAAACGCGTTCAATTCCATTGGCTGGGATCACATAAAGACAGCGCTGCAAAAGTGTGATGTCCCCGAGTACCTGCTGCAGACATTCCAAGCATACTTCAAGGAGAGATCCGCAACGTTGGCACATTCCCACTCCGCTACTGGTCAACTAGTTAACATAGTGTTAACACCAGTGCCGCAGGGTTCTGTAGTCGGCCCGACGCTGTGGAATGTAGCGTACGTAGTGATGTGCCATTGGGAATATTCCCCAAGGAATGTTCCCGGGAAGAGGGAATATTCCCGGAATATTCCCCGACCTCTCGGGAAATTTCCTTGGGGAATATTGAAAAAAAAAAATTAAAAAATCGAGTTGGAGAACTAGTATATTATAGTTTTTTTTAATATTATAATATTTTAATTATAAAAGTATTAATAAAGGGAGCTGTTTTTATTTTATTTTAAAGGGATTTAAACAAAGAGACTGATGTTTAGTTATATTTGTATTTTATATTCATTACATGTATAAGTAAAAAGTTATTTAGATGGTAGGTATGTTTATTTTCACAATTTATTTCAATACAAAAAATTAATTTGGATACCTACTTTATTAATTGTTTTCCTTTTTTTATCATAAGTTCATAAATCATAACATTATTATTATACAAGTATTAATTAATAGTACAGTTTTGCTTTTATTTTTTATTAATAAAGATACTGAAGTACCTATAGTTATATATAAATATATGTTGTTCATTACATGTATAAGTAAAAGTTATTCAGTATTTTAATTTCAGTATGTATATTATTATTTTTTCAACATATATAGGTAAATGAAAATTAAATCATTTATTTTGTGATCATTTTACAGATTTAAAAAAATTAAATTATAGTTTCTAACTTTTTTATAAAGTATAAATATCTAAAGTGACATAATATCAATAAAGAGCTGCCATTTGGATCATTTACAACTATAAGTTAAATTTAAAACTGAAACATATGATCAATATTTAAAAAACTTATTATATTCCCGGGGAAATTCCCGAAACTATATTCCCGGGAATTTGCCCATCACTAAGCGTACGACAGAGTATTAAGAGCCCGGTGCCCGGAATCCACAAAGATAATAGGATTCGCCGACGATACACTCGTCATGGCTTGGGGCAAAACAACCGAAGATGTGGAAAGGCGAATAAACGAGGCGTTAGAAGTGGTAGCAGAACAGATCAGCATACTCGGACTGTCATTAGCGACGGAGAAGTCCGAAGCTGTATTCTTCAAAAGGCAATACAAAAAAAGGAAACCCACCATCAGACTGAACGGCGCGGATGTACCAATAACGAAGACAATGAGGTATCTTGGACTGACAATAGACGAGAAGCTGAAGTTTAGAGAACATATAAAGGAAGCAGCTAAAAAGGGACAGCGGGTGCTGACGTCACTCAAGAGCCTATAGCCGAACATAGGCGGACCCACGGAACCACGCAGACGACTGCTGGTAAGTGTTGTCCAGTCGGTGATGCTGTACGGTGCCCCGATATGGGCAACCTCGCTGGAGTACTCCAAGGTCATCAGAAGAGAACTGCTAAAGGTACAACGGCAAGCGGCACTTCGCAGTATCTGTGGGTACCGCACAATATCATACGACGCGACATACATTTTAGCGTCGACCCCTCCAATTGACCTCATAGCAATGGAGAGGAGGAAGCTGTTCCAAATCAGAAGAGGGTTGACAAGGAAAACAGTACAAGAGGCAAAAGGTGACACAATGGTGGAATGGTTGCAGAGGACGGAAGACGCCAAAAAAGGGGAATGGACGCGGACACTAATTCATGACGTACGAGGCTGGGTGATGAGGAAACATGGGAGCATGGACTTCCATCTCACTCAAGTATTATCTGGGCATGGCTGCTTCAGTTATTACACCCACCGAATAGGGAAAAAAGAGGAGCCAAACTGTAGGCACTGTCCATCAACTCTAGACAACGCGCACCACACGCTGGTTGAATGTAGGGCATGGGCAGCTGAAAGAGAGGAGTTAGAAGCAGAGATCGGCCAGTTGGACATCGGCACTCTGATCGGGAAGATGCTCAGCAACACTCAGGCTTGGGAAGCAGTGTCCGCATTCGCGAAACGGACGATGAAGCAGAAGGAGGCGTTGGAGCGTGCCCAGCAGCTGGAAGAGAGGAACATGACAAACTAGCTAGTTAAGTTATACCTTTGTGGGTCAAAGACCAAAATAGGGTGGTTAGAGGCCCCCATAAAATGTAATAATCAATAAATGTATTGTGTTTTTAACTAATATTTCCACAATAAACGATGGGTGGCGGGGAGAAGTAATACCTTAGGGTTAAGTTCCTCCCCCCACTCGATACCATAAAAAAAAAAAAAAAAAAAAAAAAAAGGTGTTTTAATTGAATCTAGTCCAAATATATAATAAAACGTGTAGGTATGGTCCATATATTATTTGTATAAGTATAAAATAATAATAGTTATAATAATTATAATAGTAGTAATAGAAAAAATTTTATTTTATTTGGCTTATTGCGAAAGCTCAAATACTTCACATGGTCGTACTGTGTAATTATTTTTAAGTTATAATCTGATATTTTGTTATTGATATAGTTTCCCCCCAAGTATTTGGTCTAGTGCTAGTTCTGATACAAGTATAAATGCTTGAGAAAGTACAAATAATATGTAGACCTACACATTATATCATTAATTTTTATTATATATTTGGACCAAATACGTTTAAGTTTTCAGTCCTAAGTCTGAATAAATTTTTGTGTGGGAACTTACATATTATGTCCCCTCTTACCTGCTATGTTTCGTGTGGGAACTTACTGAACTCCCTTTACTCCCTTAATCCAGCCTTGCGACCTCCCGTTCCCCTCGTACTTCGTAAATAATTTTTTATTATTTTTAGTTTTGAGAACGATCGCTCTGCCGCCGCAACAGTTATAGGTAACGTCAAGTATAAAATAAAAGCTGCAGTGCATACAATGACAAATGACAATTAATAACAACATGCACGCAAGACACAAAGAAACAACAATATTATACTCAACTATGATCTCAATTTTCGACAAGTAGTAATGCTAAAATATATAACTCGATTATAAACATCGATTATAAGATACTAATATAGTGCTGCAACTCGTACTGCAGACGGGAGTTTGTAATTTGCACCAAATTAAAGATATGTAATTTGCACCACTGGAGGTAGTCGAAAGTAGTGTTTGTAATTTGCACCACCCTCAGGTAGTAAGAAATAGGAATTGTAATTTGCACCAAAATTAAAATCGATTATTTTTTCGATAGAATCTTGATAGTACCACTTACATGTTTCTATATCCTAATATAAATTTAGCTTAGTTTTCATTTATAAAATAGCTGAGCTTATACACCAATTGTTGTAAACTTATATAAAATCATATTATTAAAATTATAAAAAAAATTTAGCCAATTAAAATAATTATATGTGAAATTAAAAAAAGCTAACTTTTTTTATATACATAGTAATACTATTTTATATAAGCTTACAACAAGATGTGTTTAAGTTCAGCCATTTTTTAAATAAAAACTAGGCTAAATTTATATTAAGATATAGAAACTTGTAAGTTGGTACTATCAAGATAGTATCGAAAAAATTATCAATTTTAATTTTGGTGCAAATTACAATTCCTATTTCTTATTACCTGAGGATGGTGCAAATTACATATCGTTATTTTGGTGCAAATTACAAACGCATTTAAAAAAAATGGTTCAAATTACACATGTAGTATAATATATTTTGGGTCAATTTTGGTGCAAATTGACTACAGCCCCACAGCGTACTGTTGTCGGTGGATAAGTGGTTCAGCTCGCGGTACCCCTTGCCATGTGACTTGAAGTAAGCTTGCCTTGCTGACACCCTCCTAGTCCCTCTCTGGTAGGTGGTGTTGGTTGTTGGCCTCGTGCTTTGGTGCCTCGTTGTCGTTGGTATGGCTGCGACGTGGCGTTGGTTATCCATGTGGTACTGCTCTGTTTGTTGCATGTGTCCGTCTGCCATCCGGACTGTGTTTGTTGGTCCGTGGAGGGGTTTACGTACGATTTGGGTCTGTGGATCTAATAGCGCCGTTACGAAGCCTGACGGAAATTCGTGTTCGACCTCGGTGGGTCGGAATTTTGTCCGGGCGTGTTCGTGTGACGTTATTAGACGTATTGCAATCGGTCGAGCGGGGCAACTGGTTCTGAACCGCGACAGAGACTGATTGGTGGTCGGTGTTGACCGCCATGACCAAACGGTCCCTGTCGGCTGTCTCTGTGCTCGCCTGGGGGGCTATTCTTGAATGTAACGTAAGAAAAGTGAACGACCAAAGCGTACGTAAACCGCCATTTTTACGTAGTATATTAAAAAACCGTATTCTTGAATTGATATCGTACAATACGTATACGTAATTGTTCGTAGTTCTCTTACGGTTACTCATCACCCATACGAATTGAGTGTTCGTACGTTTTATTATCAAATTTAGATATTATCATTTGTACTCAATTGTATTGTTTTAATAAAAAAATACCTCAGCATGTTCTTAAATTTCAATAACCTTTTATAGTTAAATTTTTCGTTATTGATTCAAGTAATTTATTTACTTACTATAGTTGGGTAAACCCAAATTTACACGATGGCTTTTCAAGAATTTGAACAAATGATGATTTTACAGCAGTTAGAGTTTGTTGAGTTAGAAGCTGATAATCATCCTCGTCGATTTTACCAAGCTCAAAATGTTTTTGAAGGTTTGTTCAATATAATATACCTACCTATTGATAGTATTATTATGTCCTTTTCTATATTACAAAAATTATTATTAATTCTAAGCAATATTCACAATTTATTTCAAATTTAATACGGCATCTATTGACTTATAGCAGATACTATATAGATATGACTGCAGTAAAAAAAAAATATAATATTGTACAATTATATACCTATATTATATTTGAATTCAGAGCTGCGTCGCTGCTACTACGGTAGTACGGTTCTAGGCAGGCACCCCAAACACAGATTGAATGTGTAGATATAAGTAAAAGTAATAAACTAAAACACCTAAAATAAATTGACTTGCTTGGTAACTACATACCTATAGCAGTGGCGTAGACAAGGGGGGACGTAGGAGGTCAGATCCACCCTCATTGGCTTTTTATTACCTTAGTAAAGTTTTGGGGGTTGAGGATTTTCCAATTTTCCCCTCCCATTTAGCTATGTCATTTTCTTTTTTTGATCCCCCCCTTTCAGAAATCATGTCTACGCCACTGACCTATAGTGCAATAATGCATACACTATCAAATTCTAGTTTTCCTTACAATTGTAGGAGTTACATACCTACAGTTATTTAATTAAAGCATATAATACTATAAAAACTATGATAATGTTGGGGTGTCCTAAACCCTACGCTAGGGAGTTATTTTACCGAGGCTTTGCCACTGAGGTATATACGGCACTGTATTTGAATTAAAAATAACAGCTGCAATTCATAATTTTTTGTCTACAACTATCAAAAATTACTTTAACAAATCATGTTTCTTACCAGCTGCCATATTTATTATTAACTATTATTGCCCTTATTCAATTTTAGAGCTATCTGATAAACAGTTCATTAAAAAATTTCGGCTTAGTAAAGAGTTGGCTGGCGAACTTATTGAAGTATTAACGCCATATATGTCTGAACAAACAAGAAAAACATCAATTTCAATAGAAAGAAAGGTATAGATTAATTAGTTATTTTTCTACGCTTAAAGTATGTAGGTACCTATAGTACTCAATATAAATTTTCAATCAATTTGATGTACAATTTTAATTTATTGAAAGGTTTTGACAGCATTGCGATTTTTCGCAAGTGGATCATATCAACTTGATATAGGAGACAACAGGTCTTCAGGCTTAAGCCAAGCTTCTGTGAGTAGGTGCATAACTGAGGTTACCGATGCAATGAATATGTCCGATGTTGTCAAGCGGTATGTTCATTTCCCAGATTCATTTGAGAAACTGAATACTATCAGAAGAGGGTAAATATAATACCTAAATTATTTTTACTTCAAGGTTCATGGTCTTGGGTACTGACAGTTTCATAGGTGTCGTGTTTAGACAACATAACGCAGAACAAAATGTGTGAGAAATGAGAATAAGTAGGTTCAGTAAATCAGGTACCTATCAATATTAACATTGGTGTGTGACAGAGGCACAGGTAGTAGAATGGCTGGAGCTAAAATGCTTAATCAAGGGTGGTCAATGTAAATAGGTACTTATTATTTTATTACCTTTATAATTTTATATAGTTTGAGCTAAAATTTTTAGGAGGACGAAATAATATGTTCCCCCTCCCCGTGTTTTAGAAGGTGAGAAACTATCCACGTATGTTCAGGCACCCCCAGATCTCTGATGTGCAAAACTGACTTATTTAGACTTTATGCTAAATTCAATTAATGTTTTTAGAATGCTAACTTGAATTAATTTGACCGACTTAATACCGAAATATACCTATTTGATAATATTGATAATCAATTACGATTTAAACGTACCTACCTACTATAAATTTAACTCTTTAATAATATCTAGATTTTACGAAAAAACTGGTGTACCGGGCGTTATAGGTTGCATCGATTGTACACATATAGCAATTTTTCCACCTCGTTCTGAAGGACTATATGCGGAACATATTTACGTGAATCGGAAAGGATATCACAGTATAAACACTCAACTAGTAAGTAATACAATTAGGTACCTAAATAACGATTTAAGTAATACAGTAATAAATATAGTTTAAATCACAAGCGACAAAAAGGTGGGTAAGTGCCAAGTGGTAGGTAGTGATGAAGGTAGTAGTAGGATGTGGTACGCTCTGCTGTAGAGTAGGTTACAAGTGGGTCACTCATAGGCGCAAATAGCGTTTGGGATTTTTTTTTTTGGAAGGGGGGTGTGGCTAAAGTCTTACTTTGATAATATTGAATAAAATGTATTGAATTCTCGGCGCTTTTGAAAACTATTGCGAATTATAAATTTTCACCTCCACAATGAACCAACTAGACTCACTTTCCCATCTAATAAGATACTGGATTTGAAAATCGAAACATCATTTTGACTACTTATAGTGTAGTATCGTGTACACAAATACAAAAAAAAATTAAAAAAATTGTAAAATCAATACATTCATAGGTTAGGTTGGGTTAAATTCTAAAAGAATCTAAAACAAAAGTACCAATTAAAATAAAAAAAGTACCTATATTTTTTTACATTTAAAGACAATTTTTTGTAAATCTCTAAAAATGTATAAAACTGTTATTAATTGCAAGTTGTAACTGAAAAATTAATTGTTTTGGAAAAAATATAATTACATGGAACATCGTTTTTTATCAACTAGATTTATAAAGTGACGTATAAAATGTAATACTTACCTATACTACTTACCTAGTACTTAGTACTTATGTGAGTATTGTATACTATTACTTTATTACTTTAACATTGTATTAAATTATAAAATTCAAGGTTTGTGATTCAGATACTAGAATTTTAAATGTAAACGCTAATTATCCTGGTAGTACTCATGATTCGTATATATGGCGTCAAAGTTGTGTATCAACGTACATGGAAAATTTACACAGTAACGGTCATTCATCATATTTTCTTTTAGGTAAGAATTACCTATCTTCACTATAATAGGTATTAGGTATAGGTAAGCAAAATTTGATCTATTCAGTACAATATCTTCTGTAGGTGATTCAGGATACCCACTAAGATCTTGGCTTTTAACACCACTAAGTGATCCAACACCAGATTCTCCTGACGCTCGTTATAATAATTGGCTTACAAGTACAAGATCAACAATCGAAAGGTGTAATGGTATTCTTAAAATGCGCTTTAGGTACATATTCTCTTTAAGCTAAATAAATAATACATAAATAATAAAAAAATTTGTTTTATAAAATTATAATTAGATGTTTACTGAAGCATAGAGTTTTGCACTACCACCCAGAGAGAGCTTCAAAAATTATTATAGCATGTACCATTCTCCATAACATGTGTATTAACGATAACATACCTGTACCGATAAATGAACCTGATGATCCAGTAAATATTGACTTTGGAATGTATGATGCACAAATTATTCCTGATCCTGTAGTAGGTCAACAATTAACAATTGGTCGTCGTATGCAACAACTGGTCATACGTTCATATTTTACAAGACGTTAAATAAAACTAAAATTTAAAAATGTCAATGTTTTTTGTTACATTATATTATAATATATATTAATCACTTTTATAAAAAGCATGCAATGTTGTTTTATACTGTTCATAAAAAGTAAACCCATTCAGTCTGTAATAAACCGTATTTCTTCAAATTTGTGTTTGTTATTCTAATAATTTGTTTTTATACATATCTTATTATTATTAGTATTATTAATTATTAATATATATTATTAACATTTAACCAGTGTTGGGTAAACTACTTTAGAAAAGTTTTACATTACTACCCAACACTGCATTTAACATATATTAATTTTTCTTTTTGCATGTTCAACTAACATAACATAACAATGTTAATAGGGTTGGCAAAATCTTGAATTTTTTATCATTAAGAAAACAAAAAAAAAAGTTTGAAACAGTTAATTCAAACTTGGTTTTATTCATCATTAAAATATCTTAGATGTCCTTTTTAAGCATTCAATTTAGTCATTCAAAACATACCAACCCTGAAAACATAAACGACATATAAACATATAAACACATAAACTCAATACTTTCATACTCAATCACCCAATAATAATTTACATTAGATAAAAACCGAAAAGCCAAGTGAAGAAGATTTCAATAGAAAAGCGTACAAAGCATAAAGCAATAAAGTAGAAGAAAACAATTAATATTTTAAATAAGCGCCAAGCAGTTACAAATTTTGTCTGGATGCCAAACTTTGAGCTATACTCATCAAAGCTTCAGCTTTTTTTTCTTCGGCTGCAGCAATTTTTTCCAGCAATAATAATTTACGCTCATAATAACTGGCCTTAATTTTTGTTTTTTTTTGGCTTATAGCAGCAAATGATTTTGTAGCAGCAACTGTATTTTGTAAATTGGTTAATTTACAATTTGTCTTAACTTTATATGCATTTCTGTGAACAAATGAATTAGGCAATTTATGTATACATTTAATATTTAACATATATTTTTAAACATGTAAGATCATTGTATTCCAAATAATAGATTTATACATACCTAATTGATGGTTGAGATACGGTTGGTAAATGTTTTGAAGGGTAGCCACTAGCACAAACATCAATTTCATCAACTTTATTCGAATCTTCTATAAGATCTTCAAGTCCATTTAAGCAACTGAGTTCAAATAAGTAATTTTAAAATACATACATTAATATATTTTTTAATATAATATACAAACCTATCATTCCACATAAGATTACCATCATCCGGTGTATCATCTGATTCAACAGGCACAACTTCATTCACCAAGACCATATTTGAATTGCTTAATAAGCTTTGTGTTGATCTTTTATGTATTATAAATGTTAATAGTTAATTAAACTAAATAATAATATTATATAATTTGATATAATAATTAAATTAATTTTATTTGTAACAAATTAATTTAATATTTTTTGTTCTTTTGAGATATAGGTATTACAGTCAGTAGTGTATCAAGAATTTTTTTTTCAAGGAGGGGGGGGGGGGGTTTATACAATTTTCAATAGACATTCAGTATACACATTTTATTTTCATATTATTATATACATGTTGTATTGTGTACAACATTTGCTCTACCGGGGGAGGGGGGATATTACCACCATATCCCCCCACGTAGATATGCCACTGATTAGTCTAATAAATCATATAATTATATTTGATATAATTTATATAGATGATATATTACCATTGAGTACACTGTATACTGTATATACTCTATACTCAATGATATTACAGGTTTGATTATTTGTCAAAATTATTATAAGTTATAACTACATTTTTGTTAAATTAATGAAACTATTCCATTTGGCTAAAATTATTTATGTTTTATCATAATTCGTAAAAAATAGATATTGAATGGCAACACCTATGGAAAGTTAGCATTTTGTCTTACCAAGAACCTAACTAAATTACAATTTACTAAAACGCATACGATTAGTATTTAATGTAACTTTACCTACAACTACTAGTAGTATACTTAGCCTACACATAATAAACTTACGAATGTGGTACAAAAAAGGAAATATCAGCTGCACTTTCATCTACTGATGTATGTCCTTCAACAATTGTTGGACCGAGCATTTCCAGTATTTTGTTCTCAAACTCACTAAATACCTCCAAATCTAATTCTCCACCACCAGTTTTATTCCTTTCTTTTCTATTTGCGCCTGCCTTACCCTTAACATTCGTTTTTAAATCACACCATGTCTGAGAAAAAAAAAAAATTAAACTATTAGTAATCGCTCTACAACTATGTAATACACTATATTATTATACATACCTTTCTCCACTCACTCCAAGATTTATTTGGGCCAACTTCTGAATTTAACGCCTCTGCTAAACTTTCCCATAACCTCTGTCGTTGTTTTACTGTAGACTTTGATGTATTTTTTCCTGAAACTAGTTCAGGATGTAAAACCATAAAGTCTACCAGTAATTTTTTCTGTCTGTCAGTAGTATTCGGCTTCCTGTTTTTTTTCATTTCCATTTTAAAAATATGACTAACAAGCGCAGTAAGGCCGGAAATATTACAGCAAAACAAAAAACAACAATGAGTAAAGCCGTAAGCTCTAATCATTAATCAGTACTTAACCATGAAAAAATAATTATAATCATTACAAAGCTAAAAATTATTTTGCCATAATGGCATAATCATTGGTCATTACCATAAACCATAATAAAATTCTGTGCTAAAACTATACGGTGATCGGCTGTGATAACGTACAAAATATTTTAAAAACCCGCCAAAACTGTGATAAGATAGACATTTTACAGAGTTACCAACTACATTTTTAATATTTCGTACGTTCGAGTTATTCGTATACGAATCGGTCGTTTTCATTGCTCGTACGCTGTTCAAGAATACGAGATGATGAACGTAGACGAGCAAAGGTAACGAACTGCTCGTGTACGAGTAATAACGTATACGTTTGGTCGTTCTTTTCGAGAATAGACCCCCTGATGCCTTACGTATACAGAATGACCTATAATGTGTGCGAAGTTGGTGTTCTTGCGCCCCCGTCACCTTTGCAGGTGAACACCCGTGGCTCTGTTACCTCTGTCCCCACACCAGCGGCTGCCCCATAAGCCGTTGATGTTGACCACACTTGTCACTGGTGAGGTGAGTGTGGTGGATGGTGGGGTGGTGTAGGTTTGGGATTTAAGAGTGGATGCCGATAGGTGGTGTGGTGACGGAAAAATTCGTAGTTGGTTTTTCGTCGTTACGAATTACCGAACTACGTGAGTAGGTTAAAAAAGAGAGTTCTGGAACCTCAACCTGCTGGCAATTTCCTATACCCGTCTGCTCAACCCACTACACCGTCTGCTCAACCCACTATACCGTTTGCTCAACCCACTATACCCGTCTGCTCAACCCACTATACCCGTCTGCTCATCCCAATACACCCGTCTGCTCATCCCACTATACCCGTCTGCTCATCCCACTATACCCGTCTGCTCATCCCTATACATTGACGGCTGCTGAACCCACCATATATCACATACGTTAACGATGTACCCCCGCCACCCCACCACCTATGACCACCGCGCGTGGAAAATAATTTAAAAATTTATCCGCCGGACCGGGATTCGAACCCGATATCTTGCATGATAAGCGACAACCGTACCACTGGGCCGCCTACTCGCATCTGTTTGAGAAGGTATATTCTATCTCATTTAACCGGCGTCTATGCGCGAGGTATAATTTCCCCCACCACTATACCATTTACCCCCTCCCGATTAACCTGTAGAGACTTTTCGATGTCTCCCCCACCAATTAATATTTAATTTGCTCGTTTATGAACACAACTACACAACATAAAATAATTTCCCCCACCACTATACCATACCAAGAGCCGCCGCGAACGCGCGCGCGAGCCCTCCGGTGCGTTATCAGTTATCACAGTGACTTTAACACAAAATAATCTACTGGTATATTTTTGCTCGTTTATGAACACAACTACACAACATAAATTCAGTCACTCTATATAATCGTTCCAAGTGTTTCGCGTGTGCTTGTCTCATATTCAGTGTTAAAATCATAATTATTTCTCAGTGCGTAAAATAAATATGGCTGGTCCAATTGAAAATATGGAAAATATTTACAAGAAAACTTACAAATATTCACCACCATCGCCGCCAGCTAATCTGATCGATTGTACTACATTCTTTAATACGTTATATAATAATTACGTGCGTAGTATTAGCGCAGAGCGAACGAGATGTATATAATAGAGCACTATATCACCAACTGCGGACAGTAATGAATAGCGACTATTCATTCATTCAAAAATCCCTACCGCCGCCGCCGCCACCTCCCCACTTCACCACCCAGCCATAGATAGCCCGCTACCGACACCGCCTCCCCCCTACTTCACCACCACCACCACCGTCAAAAGCCCGATCGCGTACGTGTGCTACTATGCGTTATCATATATAACCGCGAGCAGTTCTGCCCTAAACTGATATCACTTATCACATTACTGTTAACAAATAATAATACGAGTGCACATGTATAACAGGGTATCCGCATATAATTGTGCAACACACTACCTTTATTATTATATATATATATACATGTAAATGCTGAACACATTATTTACCTAATCCCCACTACCAAACACATTATACATAAACCCCCACTACATACATGGTTTAACAATTAATACTCTATCGTGTGAATATTCAGTCTCAGTTTTGATTTAACAGCGTCAAGTTGTAAGTCTCAGTATATTGCTTATAAATATGGCAGGACCAATAAGTGAAATGAAACGGGTATACAATTATGTTGCACCTACATCTCCACATGAACTCATGGATTGCTCTAATTTTACAATAGACTTTAAAAATCGCAAATTCTTGAACATCGGATTCGATCCAAAAGATCAGTTCAATATCGTTTTGCAAATAATTACACCGTCACGGTATGTAAAAATTTCATCAGACTTCTTGAAACGAATTTATTCAGTCATGGGCCATGTTTTGTCACACGTTCTCGATCCTGTTGTAAAATATAAAAAAATTATTTTTTGGGAAGATGAAGTCGCTTTGCTTACAAGTATGGTGTATAAAGGAGAGCATGTGTTGGTTATAGAGTCAAAAACAACAAACGGATGTAGAATCATATTAAGTCGTAGAGATCTTATGACAATTCAAGATTTAGAGTGCGCCATTTTTGAAACAATTTCAAGAAAAAACGATATCGTAAAACCTATTATTTTAAATCAACTCGAACAAATATCCGAATACTTTAATACTGATTTTAATATTGATAAATCTGTGACACTGGAAGAAGTAAAAACAATAATCAAAGGAATTGATATCGAGTTAATCGCAATGCATGTACCGAAGCACAAACATAGTTTTATAAGCCAGATCAAATTATTCGCAACTGAACAGCTAGCTATCAATTGGATGACGATGAATTTGCCAAAAGTAAGAATATATATATATATATTAAAAAAAATTATTTAACATATGCATTCAATTAGGCTGTGGGTGAAAATGATGATGATGAACTGATAAAATTTCCCCCGCCTACCCAGATTAGGCCTGAAGCAAACGATTTAAAGGTAATAATATACAACTTTTTTTTATTATGATTACTTATTTTCTATTTATTTTAGTATTATACGGAGACCTTTGACGTGGAAATGCTGCAGCCATCCCCACCAAGATACTCAAGTATGTCTCCATTAATGACATATAACGAAGACGATTTATCACAGTCACGAGTAATTTAAAATTAAAATAATAAAATATTTAAGTATTAAATGTAATTTAATTTTTAGGCAGCTGACGAGGAGAGAAGGTTCAAGGAATGTAGTATAATAGGAAAATTCCTTATTATATAAATCCGTACAGTAGTCAGTAATATTGTAAAATAATATTGTTTACTGCAGATTGTTGTAATATATTGTGTAAAATAAAGAACTAAAAAAAAACATTAAAGATATGGTACATTATCACACATATCTAAAAATATTACACCATTTTCAGATTATAATCCCATTCGAATAACTAACATAAATTATATCCAAACAATTAATAATTATATACACATCATTATCACAAACTCCTGAACATATTATACAATTTTCATAATATATACGATACATAGGTATATTTATACATATAAATATGATATGACCAAACACTTACAAACTATAATATACTATGAAACACACGATACCATACGGTACTCATCAGTTTTCATTCTGAACACACGCTCAACATAAATATTATATACCTTATCATACATATATACATACATACATACATACATACATACATACATACATACAAACATACATAAAAATAGTATACAGTTTTCTTATTATATAATTACATACGAAAAAACGAATCGCTAAAGCATACGTTATACACCGGAATGTATCACATACATACATAAACTTGTAAAAAATTATATTTTTCAAAATATACACGTTAAAGTATAGAGATATTCGTAGACATTCCTCTACCTGACAACATACAGAAATATATATATAATATACGGGCAACCGTTTACAGATGTCGATGAGTTTCGTTCATCCCTTTCTCTAGCACATACATGCACATACACTCATATAACCATAGGTTAGTTCATACATATTTAGATACTCACATATTATATACATATTTGTATAATATTCCGAACACCTTTTTACAGGGAAGTTTCATCAGTTTAAGCGTTGTGTTCCACCGTGCAACACAACATTTCAAAAAGTATTATTACATTCATTATAACAAACAACTAAACATACTATAAAACTTACATATTATTATTGTATTATATATTATCATTTATTCCCATACATGGTACACATATACAACATTCATACATAAATAGGTACTTTCATATTATATACACCATCACACACATCTAATCTTGTTATACAACTTACATATCAATATAAGACACTTCGTTACATATAGACACACTCACACATGAAATACATACTTTAAAATACTTACTCACATTCACATAGATACATTTAAACATTCCAATACATCCACCCTAAAAAGTATTTTCAAAAGTACAACATCGCTCATCAATTGGTTGTACCTACTACTACAAAATTGTTATGCCCAATAATCATCTAGATAGTTCAATTCTATTATATGAGACCATCGTACCTAAGCTTATAAACACGCATATTATAGAAAAATATCTCAATTAAAATAGGTAGATCTACCTATATTTTATTCAGCTCAGAGGATTACTCAACAACATACACAAAATTATATATTTATGACACACAATATTATATATTTATGTAACTAGTAGGTACCTATATACACTATACAGACTAAGGAGAATAGAGGATATCGACTCTGAGGGTCTTAGACGTCGTCTTCGAGATAGTTTGATCACTAAATGCAAAAATAAAACTATCATATTTTGACTTCACCGTTGATACAGTACATTTCATGTTAGAAATAATACAACATTTATTTTATTAAATTTGAATTAAACACAAATATGCTTAT